GACAAAATGCCTTAGTTTCTCAAGTTATATGAAAGAAAGTTTTGCTTTGGCTCACAGTTTAGAAGTTTCAGTCCATGATTACTCATCCCCATTGCTGTTGTACCTGTGGTAGCATAGTATGTCATGGCAGAAGTGTATGACAGAGGAAGCTGTTCACCCAGAATCAGAAATAGAGGAGGGGGCCAGGCTCCCAGTATCCCCTTCAAGGGCCTACTCCCAGTCAGCTAACTTCCTTCCACTAGGCCATTGGTGGCAAACCTATGGCACACATTCCTCAGTGGGCTGTTTGTATCTTTGAAATCTTGAAAAGGTTCGCCATCACTGCACTAGGCCCACCTGCTGAAGGTCCCACTACCTCTCACTAGTACCATGGGCTGGGGCCCATACCTTCACACGTGAGCCTTTGGAGGATATTCAGAATCCAAGATACAGCATTTTTCTCCTGGTCCCCAAAGGCTATGTCCATCTCACAGTGCAAGATACAGTCAGTCCATTTCAATTTTGCATTTTTCCAAAGTTAAAAGTCCAAGGCAGTGCTCAGTAAGATGAGGCAAGGAGGATCACTTGAGCCCAGGAGTTCAAGACTTAGCCTGATAACATACTCAGTCTGGGTAACATAAGAAAACCTTGTCTCCAAAACCAATTAAAATATATTTTCGCAAAATGAGTAGATTATAGCTGCTCTTTCTAGGAGGGTTGTGCCATGATGCACATGTTAATTTGTTCCACCATAGTTGCTATATATATATATATATATATATATATATATAATGTCTTAAATACTTAAAATGCAATTTATTATAAAAAGATACTAAAGTTTTCACTTTCTACATTGGAGATAGAAACATCTTACCTTGGAAAGCTTTAGGCATGCTTTTCTCATATTGTATTTTATCACAAGAATTTTTTCTCATACTGTTTTTTATCTCAAGATTGGATATCCCAAATAAACCCTAGAGAGATTTATTGTGATCTGAATGGAAGGAAGTTACAGGACCAGCCCTAGGTAAAGCACATGAGAGAAGGCCCGTGGTCCTCTGTATGCAGTTAATGATGATGTTTATTAGACAAGGGTGTTGAGATCTAGATACCTGGTCAGTTGGGGCAGAGATGGAGGTAGAATTAGTTGTGTTTACCAACTTTGCTAAGTGCCTCTCATATCCCGAACACTTAAAGGACAACTTTAGCACCCTGCCTTTTTTTATTTCCCTCTGCTTTGAAGAGATAGCCTGCCCTTGTGGCTGTAGTATGGTTCAACTACTTGCTGGTTTCTTTCAATCTCATTTTTTAATTTATTTTTACAGCTATTCTCTTTGTTTTACCACACTGTGGGCTTATGTATGCATTCCCATTGTCTGCTTATAGATTATTTTCTCTCATAGAGGTTTTCAAAATTTGTCTGTTAGTAACATGTACTGTAATGATCACGTACTTGGAACTTTTCAGTGGCATCTGAAGACTCAGTAAGAGAAAAAAGTCAAACCTTTTTTAGCCTAAGCACACTCTCATGCTGGGAGTTAAAGTGGTAGCCACAAATGCTGCCAAGCAGTGTGAACTTAGTTTCTCTTTCAGACCCGTGGGACTAATGCAAAGAAAAACCCCTAGTCCCTCTGACATGGCCATCCCCCTTTGCTGGACACAAATCCAGGAAAACACTTTTAGAAAGCTGCTGCCTGAGGAATACACAGACCTGTTTATTTCCTACTGCAGATAGGAGGGTTATCTCACAGGTGCCTCTTGAGTCCTGTTCTCCCTGCACCCTAACAGTCAGAAAGTGCGTGTGTTAGCTCACGTTGTAGGGTAGATCGTGTCCGTCAAGTTAGGCAGATCCATTTTCCTCCTTCACAACACATGGTTAACAGCTTTGCCCAAGGTTATTGTCACGAAGAATATTCCGTCAATGGCCATCCTACTACACACCAGGTGCTCCCAGCCTGAACAACAGACAGTAGAGCATAAATAAGGGAGGCTGTGGCTGGTTAGTAGAGCTAACTTTGCTAGTGTGATTAAAGGTCTCTCTGAAAAGATGGTAGTAAAGTGAAGATTTTGCATGAGAGGAGACTGTCATATAAAGATAAAGCAGAACAATTCCAGGCAGAGAGAAAAACCTCCAATATAGGAACACACTTGGCACGACACAAAAGATGAGTGGGGAAAAGCGGCCAGAGATGGGGATGGGGAGAGAGGCTGGGTATTGCAGGGTAAGGCGAGGAGTCTGGATTTTACTTCAGATTCAGTAAGACTCTAGTGATGAAAATTAGAGCAGGGAAGTAATATATTTTATGTTTTAGAATATGTGGGAGAGCCAGGTGTGGTGGGGCACACCTGTAATCCCAGCACTCAGGAGGCTGAGGCAGGAGTATCACTGTGAGTTCAGGGCCATCCTGAGCTGCAGAGTGAGACCCTGTCTCAAAACAACCAAATATATAAATATAAACATATAAATATATAAATATATATATGTATATATAAAAAATGTGGGAGAAAAAGATGAAGCAGGAGAAGGACATTGCTTGCACTATGGTTCTAACAGTGGAAATGGGAAAAATTCAATAGATTCAGGATATATTTTGAAAATAGAGCAAATTAGGACTCACTGATAAATTGGGTATAGCATGTTTAAGAAAGGATAAAGAATATTGATGGTAACCTGAGCGTTTCATGGGAAAAGGAAATTTAGGGGTAAAAATGAACAGTTTGGTTTTGGACATGTTAAGGGTCAGATGTTCATTGCACATCCAAGTGAAGATGTCAGGAAGGCAGCCTAAGCTCTGAGAGAGGCTGGCTGGACCGTTTGACTTTTTTCACCATTTCACGGGTATTTAAAGCCATGGGAATGGATGAGTAAGCTGGGAAGAGTGTAGGGGTGTAAGAGCACCCAAAGACCAGGACTGGGGCCTCCAGTAATTCCAGTGGACTAAATGTAGTAAAGTGTTTAGCTCATAGTAAATATCAGAAGTTGTGCCGTTATTGCTCTTTTGGGCTTATTTCTTAGCAGTATCCTCGGCCTCAGGTGCATAAGGTTTGTAGAACCATAAAAGGCCAAATGGGCCCAAGCTTCAGCACCCCCTTCCTTTTCCTCTCTTCGGGACCCACATGACTGTCCAGGGGCACCTGTGTTTACTTCCTGTTTCACCATGTACCTTGGGTGTCTCATTGGGAAATCACCTTGCAGAAGGGTAAGATGTGCTGTCAAATTCGATGAGAACTCCAAGTGTGTTGGGTGGCGCGAGCTGTCTGTGGCCTCATGGAAAGAAGCCCTGTTAGCTGATGGGTTTGCTAAGCTGTTCTCAGGCACTGGCTGGGATGGAAGCTTCTTTTTAACAAGTACGGATGCATGTGGCAAGGAGGAAGAGGATTACAATGTGATCCTCCCACCGTGCTTACCCTGACGCCTGGGCCCAGAGGCACATTCTAAGGTGGAAGCCTGATTGAAGATCCCTAACCCAGCACACCTAGCATGCTTCCAGGAAGCATAAGAGAGTGCAGGAGGCGACATGCAGGCCAAGGCTTCTCCGGAGTTGTTACGTCTGAGCTGTCTCCGCCTTAGACTTCCGTACTCTAGAGGTTAATTACCATTACTTTTCAGGTCAAAAGAGGTGGCCAGAATTAAATTTCTATCTCACATGCTGTCAGGACAAGAATTAGGGCTCTATAGTGAACTGAACCAGACGCTGTGATTCAAGTAGACATTCCTCATTTTAATAACCCAGCTGTGTTCCTGCTGCATGCTAAGTTGTCAAATGAACTGGTTGCTAAATGACGAGTTATAGCAGACTGGTGAAACCACTGTGGAAATCAGTTTGGAGATTCCTCACAAAACTAGGTCTAGAGGTCCCATTCAACCCAGCGATCCCCCTGCTGGGTATTTTC